TTAATAAGAAAAGCTAGAATCTGTAGGTCATTAAATGACCCATTTTCTTTTGTGCATATATGATAAACTATATATTACTAAGTTTATAAAAAATAAACATTTGCTGAATCAGAGAAATGTAATAGCTATTTTTTGCCGTCATTGTCAAAAATTTTCCTTAAATAATATTTAAAAATAAAATTAAAAAATGGGAGCTGGTAATATACATACTTATATTTGATATGAAAAAATAAATTTAAATAATGTTAAGTAATTCTATTACATTTACTTGTTTTTAAAAAGAAATATAGTCTATTAGTAATTAAGAGTAAAATATTTTAAAATTATAGTTAAATAAAACGTATTCTAACCTTTAAACACTCCTAGAAAGAATCTTTAAGTAGACACAAGTAAGAAAAAAATGCCGAAAACCTTTTTGCCGTTAATAATAATAAAAAAAACCCATTGGCCATGCATTTAACGAAAGTCAGAATTCGTTGAAAAATACACCCCTACCCCCCACTAAATTTAACCTCTTTTTCGAACGTAACTCATAATTGATACAACAATAAAAATGAACACACTACCACCCCTGTCTGAATGATTGGATTTCTCTGTATCCTTGGAAACAGTAAATTATGAATTTATATGTGCGTTTAAAACTCTTTAAGTTTAAAAATAAGTTATTCCAATATTCGCTTAAAGATGAAACGGAACTAATGCTTTTAATTTAATTATATAATTAATTTTTTTTAAGTTTTTAGCTTCTATTTTTGAAACATGGTTATTACTGCGTAGCGAAAATAATATTTTAAATCAGTTAATTTATAATATTTAAGCTCTGTAAATTTACATTGAGCACTGTTTTGTAAAAATAAAAAAAATAAAAAAATAAAAATAAAAAATATCAATAAGAACACCGGATTATATATCTTACTGTTCTTTCTTTTTATTTGTATATCTCCAGAGACCTTCTTTTATTTCTCTATATATTTTCTGGTTTTTCTTTGGGTCGTACATTAGTTGGTATATTACGCCAGCTAATTATTTATTTCTGATAAGTGGGAACTAGTAGTTTGTCCTGAAAATACAAGTGTGGTTGATAAGTATTTATGGTTTGCGGACGATATGTTGTGTTTTTACGTTTTGTATTAAATTTTAGAATATTTACGTTGAATACATATCTTCTTCTATGTGCCGAGTCCCCCTCCCTCAGGATGTGGGTGGTCATGGCTCTTCACAATTTCCTGTTCTTTGTAGCTCTTAATAAATTTTGTCTTAAATCAATCCTAAACCTTGTTCTGCTATCCATTTACACAAGCTCGCTAGGTATGTTTTGCGCTGTTTTCCTCTGTCTCTCTTGCCCACAATCTGTCATGTGAGTGTCAAATTTTCCAAGCCATCTTTCCTTGTGCCCTAAAAATTTAAACTTCTTGATGTTAAGTATAAGTATCCTTTTTGCTTCTGTCTCTATCTATAAAAGGCAGGATGTGTGTGTGTGTGTGTGTGTGTGTGTGTGTGTGTGTGTGTGTGTGTGTGCACACGCGCGTGCGTGTGTGTGTGTGTGCGCGCGCGTGTGTGTGTGTGTGTGTGTGTGTGTAACGAATGCACGGCCGCAATTTTCGACGGATTTGTACCAAAATTTACATGCACATGCTCCAAGTTAGCGAGAAGGCCAACACCGACTTTGCATTTCCCAACTCCCATCGATAGTGGAAATAATCGATTTTTTCATGCTTCTACGGCAGTTTCCATGTAGTTTGCGGCCATTTTGTTCTGGCCAGAGGGAGAGTCAATAGCTGGCTGTCACGAATAGGCAGGAAGACTCTATTGGCCAGCGTGAGAGCCAACAGCTGACTGACACGGATGTTAACTAGCATGCTAGCATGCAAAAAAATCGATAGCTGCATTCGTCACAAGTGGGAAAAATTTAAATCTGCATGGAACTTTACTCTAATTGGCGCATTCGCTTGCTTAAATTCAACGTTGATTCTGATTCCGCAGAACTGGGTTGAGCGTGAAAAAGTATTTGTTGTTAACATTCTTTTTTCATTCGGTTTTTCCAGTTACGAGTCCTTTTTTTAAAGCTGATCGTTTTGTGTTCATTTTGTTTAGTTCTTTTTTTCGTAACAGATTTAATGTTTAGTATAGAGCTTAGAAAAAATTCGCAGTGTGAGATAGGCAAGAAGTAAGGCATGTAGCAACATCAGCACGGCAAAGGGCACTCCTTTAAAGACAAGAAAGGACAAAAATATTTTAAGTCAAGTGATAACGATTGCTGTACGAGTAGTACGATTTTTTAAACAAGCACGGGCAACGACGGGCCATGCTGCTAGTTATTAATAAAACTTTATCGTTGCTTACACATTCTGTCCATGGTATCCTCAGTAATACGTTTATGTTACTTCAAGTTACTTTTTCATCTGTGAGGAGATTGTCCAGCATTCACTGTCATATAGAACAGATATTGCATAACAATTCAGTACTCTTTGTTTCTGACGAAATGTTTAGTTTTTTTAGTAATTTTGCTTAACTTTAAAACCTAAATATCAGCAACACATTTCAAATAGCGTCCTGGGTAAGACGATAAACTACATCCGACAGTAAGGCCTCTGATTAGGAGGTTTTGAGGAGCGTGAAGCCACTTTTTAATTGTTTGAATTACCAGGTTCACCCTGACCCGGGGTGGTAGCATTTGTTAGGGTCCCGGCTATGTGAAAATAGTTAACTCTCAAACTGGGGTCAAAACACAATGAAAGTGTAAAAATCGGTTTTGATACCGGCAATAAATTTTTGAAGAAAAAATTATTACATGCAATGTATTATTACTAATAGAACATTTTTAGAAGAAAAGAAAACATTACCAGCAATATATTTAGAAGAAAAATATATTAACAGCAATACACTTTTGAATAGAAAAATATTAGCAGCAATAAAAATCTTGTCGGCATTAAATAACCCATTGAGGTTGATATGCCGTAAAACAAACCAAACCAAACCAAACCGAACAGGAAGTAAAATACACTCATACTTATAATAAGAAAGAGAGTTGAAATTTATGAGGTTCATAATGAGAAAAGATGGCTTAGAGAATTAAACACTGACAGGACATACTGAAAGCAAGGAGAAACAGGAAATAATCAAAATATTAGCAGTAATAAAAATCTTGTCGGCATTAAATAACCCATTGAGGTTGATATGCTGTAAAACAAAACAAAACAAACCATTTCTAATAGCATTGAATCACAAAGAGTTAATGTGAGTGAAGATGCTGCCATAAGAAATTCAAATACACCTCTTAAATTTATCCAAGATTGATCCGCTTGCTCAACTCAAGAACTATTATGAAGATCAACAAACTGAATCTATCCATGAAAAAATTCGGCTCCCCAACTCTGCTTCTGTCAACAAACAATCTGCTCTTGCTTGAAAAACTGTCAAAGCGATCAGTGACAGAAAATCAACAAACAAATCCAAGTTAAAGGCTAATATTCAGGCTGAAAATCTGGATAAATGGCAAACCGTTTTAAAAAATCTTTTGGGGAAATGCACCTGACATTTTAGATACTAAAATCTTTTAAATCATTAAACATCCTCTTGACATTAAACCTGAAAACTTCACCGATGCAGAACTTGAAAAAGTTTTTAAAATAACACAAAACCATCAAACTAATAACATAATTTAATGACACTACAATTTATTATGAAAATGTTTTTGATGCCCACTGAATTTCCTGGGCAACGACTCAAATCTACAACTTCTGCGTTCCGAGAAAAATAAAATTATGGAATACTGGAATAAGTACGATGCATAAACAGAAAATTTAGTTGGATGTTAAGTATAACTCTCAAACTCTCGAACTCCTACTCGGTCATAATTGATCTAGCGAGACAAGCTTGTTAAACATTACACCACATCGAAGTGCCCAAATGATTTTCTAAGTGTAGTTTAGATGTGGCACAAGGTCGAAAGAATGAGACACCCTGTGACGATCGAACTCGCTACTCGGTCGTAATTGATCTAATGAGACAAGCTTGTTAACCATTACACCACGTCGAAGTGCCCAAATGATTTTCTAAATGTAGTTTAGTCTTAATTGATCTCGCGAGACAAGCGTTCCAACTATTAAATCACGTCAACATGTCTTATGAACTATTATATATTTTAAGTAAATTTTCAAATTTTAAATTTTCTACACGTATAAGTGCCAATCTGCAGGGTTTGACACTGACCCAGAGAAAAGAATCCGTGAAGATCTAACCCTAACATAACCAGCAGTTATCCAGATAGCTTGTACATAAACCCAATACCCTCTACCCTTACCACTAGTGAAATGTGGAAAACTGACAAGTTTGCTTTAAATAAAAATAGCTGATGAAAACGATAAAATATTCATCGGCGTACTCTAGATCAACTAGAGAACTGGGTCAACTGACCTACATATTCCGAGAAAGGATGTTGCTTACGAGTAAAATTCATCTTGTCTATCAAGTGGAGAATCTAACCCCGAAAGTATGTATCTTGATTGTCCATCATAGATGACAGGACACGGGGACGGGTTTCTCCGTAGATTTGTCATGTGTACAACCCTTAAAAACAATTCCGAAAGAGTTCGAATTAGCTTCCAACACCGTTACACCAGATTTCGGACAATGAACCAGCAAAACCAAGCTATGGTGTCAAAGAAACCTCACAGAGGCAAACGTTCACACAATTTGACACGGCGAGAATAGGCGAGAACAGTTTAGCAGCAAACCGAAGACGATATCAACGCCTACTGCTACCACCACCACAGAAATCGACCAACAGCCACATAATGCTTTAGGAAACTGATCGAAGTCTTATCTATCAGTTGAGGCAAATTGATTAGAAGTCCGGTGGGAAGGGTAGATACAACCATGAGAAGTTTTTTTTATAACTAACAACGGTAAATAAAACGTCATTCATTCGCCATTGTTAGGTGTTAACGTGGATTCCTCGGCTTTATTTCTAAATCCCGGAAACCGTCAATATTATTAGAATGCTCAAACGGTTGCCAGGAAATAGTTCGATACTGATAATGGAGGTTTCTTCAGATGTTAGAGAGGGATGTGTTAGACGTTGAATTACTTTGTTTTTTGTTTCACCATTTCCTTCTTCATTTGATCTTTTCTTTCTTCCTTTCTATCTTTATTTTTCCCCAAAATTCATTCTTCCCTGCGTTCTTTCTGTCCGCCTTTAAATCATTCCAGACTTCTCTTTTGCTTTCCGTCTATTTGTCCTCCTTTCAATACTTCTTTCTTTCTTTCTTTCTTTCTTTCTTTCTTTCTTTCTTTCTTTCTTTCACCTATATGTTTTTCCTCCTTCCTTTCTTCTTTTCTTTGTTTCGCATTAGTCAACCTTTCTTGCTTTTTTCTTTCTTTCTTTCTGTCCTTCTTACTTTCCACTCTTTCTTCTTTCTTTCACCTTTTCTTTCCTCGTTTCTTTCTGTCTTTTTTTTTACCACATTTCAATCTTTTCTCCCTTCTTTCAGCCCTCCTTTAAATTATTTCATCTTCCTTCTATTTTCTTTCTTTCTTTCCTTCTTTCTTTCTTTTTCTTTCTTTCTTGACTCAGTTGTCATAGCTTACTCCTTTTTCCTATTTTGCTCCCTTCTCTTTCTTTCCTTGATTCTTACTTCCTTTCTTCTTTCCTTTCTTCCGCATTCCTTTCTTTCTTTCTTTCTTTCTTTCTTTCTTTTTTTCACCTATATGTTTTTCCTCCTTCCTTTCTTCTTCTCTTTGTTTCGCATTAGTCAACCTTTCTTTCTTTTTTCTTTCTTTCTTTCCTTCTTTCTTTCTTTTTCTTTCTTTCTTGACTCAGTTGTCATAGCTTACTCCTTTTTCCTATTTTTGCTCCCTTCTCTTTCTTTTTCCTTGATTCTTACTTCCTTTCTTCTTTCTTTTCTTCCGCATTCTTTTCTTTCTTTTCTTTCTTTCCTTCCTTCTTTCTTTCTTTCACCTATATGTTTTTTCCTCCTTCCTTTCCTTTTCTCTTTGTTTCGCATTAGTCAACCTTTTTTTTCTTTTCTTTCTTTTCTTTTTCTTTCTTTCTTTCTTTCTTTCTTGACTCAGTTGTCATAGCTTACCTTTTTTCCTATTTTGCTCCCTTCTCTTTCTTTCCTTGATTCTTACTTCCTTTCTTCTTTCCTTTCTTCCGCATTCCTTTCTTTCTTTCTTTCTTTCTTTCTTTCTTTCTTTCTTTCTTTCTTTCTTTCTTTCACCTATATGTTTTTCCTCCTTCCTTTCTTCTTCTCTTTGTTTCGCATTAGTCAACCTTTCTTTCTTTTTTCTTTCTTTCTTTCCTTCTTTCTTTCTTTTTCTTTCTTTCTTGACTCAGTTGTCATAGCTTACTCCTTTTTCCTATTTTGCTCCTTCTCTTTCTTTCCTTGATTCTTACTTCCTTTCTTCTTTCTTTTTCTTCCGCATTCTTTTCTTTCTTTCTTTCTTTCCTTCCTTCTTTCTTTCTTTCACCTATATGTTTTTTCCTCCTTCCTTTCCTTTTCTCTTTGTTTCGCATTAGTCAACCTTTTCTTTCTTCTTTCTTTTCTTTCTTTCTTTCTTTTCTTTCTTTCTTTTTTCTTGACTCAGTTGTCATAGCTTACTCCTTTTTTCCTATTTTGATCCCTTCTCTTTCTTTCCTTGATTCTTACTTCCTTTCTTCTTTCCTTTTCTTCCGCATTCCTTTTCTTTCTTTCTTTCTTCCTTTCTTTCTTTTCTTTCTTTCTTTCTTTTTCCTATATGTTTTTCCTCCTTCCTTTCTTCTTCTCTTTGTTTCGCATTAGTCAACCTTTCTTTCTTTCTTTTTTTTTTCTTTCTTTCCTTCTTTCTTTCTTTTTCTTTCTTTTCTTGACTCAGTTGTCATAGCTTACTCCTTTTTCCTATTTTGCTCCTTCTCTTTCTTTCCTTGATTCTTACTTCCTTTCTTCTTTCCTTTCTTCCGCATTCCTTTCTTTCTTTCTTTTCTTCCTTTCTTTCTTTCTTTCTTTCTTTCTTTCTTTCTTTCTTTCTTTCACCTATATGTTTTTCCTCCTTCCTTTTCTTCTTCTCTTTGTTTCGCATTAGTCAACCTTTTTTCTTTTTTTTTTTCTTTCTTTCCTTCTTTCTTTCTTTTCTTTCTTTTCTTGACTCAGTTGTCATAGCTTACTCCTTTTCCTATTTTGCTCCCTTCTCTTTCTTTCCTTGATTCTTACTTCCGTTCTTCTTTCTTTTCTTCCGCATTCCTTTCTTTCTTTCTTTCTTTCCTTCCTTCTTTCTTTCTTTCACCTATATGTTTTTCCTCCTTCCTTTCCTTTTTCTCTTTTGTTTCGCATTAGTCAACCTTTCTTTCTTTTTTTCTTTTCTTTCTTTCTTTCTTTCTTTCTTTCTTTTTTCTTTCTTTCTTGACTCAGTTGTCATAGCTTACTCCTTTTCCTATTTTTGCTCCCTTCTCTTTCTTTCCTTGATTCTTACTTCCTTTCTTCTTTCCTTTTCTTCCGCATTCCTTTCTTTCTTTCTTTCTTTCTTTCTTTCTTTCTTTCTTTCACCTATATGTTTTTCCTCCTTCCTTTCTTCTTCTCTTTGTTTCGCATTAGTCAACCTTTCTTTCTTTTTTCTTTCTTTCTTTCCTTCTTTCTTTCTTTTTCTTTCTTTCTTGACTCAGTTGTCATAGCTTACTCCTTTTTCCTATTTTGCTCCCTTCTCTTTCTTTCCTTGATTCTTACTTCCTTTCTTCTTTCTTTTCTTCCGCATTCCTTTCTTTCTTTCTTTCTTTCCTTCTTTCTTTCTTTCTTTCACCTATATGTTTTTCCTCCTTCCTTTCCTTTTCTCTTTGTTTCGCATTAGTCAACCTTTCTTTCTTCTTTCTTTCTTTCTTTCTTTCTTTCTTTCTTTCTTTCTTTCTTTCTTGACTCAGTTGTCATAGCTTACTCCTTTTTCCTATTTTGCTCCCTTCTCTTTCTTTCCTTGATTCTTACTTCCTTTCTTCTTTCCTTTCTTCCGCATTCCTTTCTTTCTTTCTTTCTTTCTTTCTTTCTTTCTTTCTTTCTTTCACCTATATGTTTTTCCTCCTTCCTTTCTTCTTTTCTTTGTTTCGCATTAGTCAACCTTTCTTTCTTTTTTCTTTCTTTCTTTCCTTCTTTCTTTCTTTTCTTTCTTTCTTGACTCAGTTGTCATAGCTTACTCCTTTTTCCTATTTTGCTCCTTCTCTTTCTTTCCTTGATTCTTACTTCCTTTCTTCTTTCTTTTTCTTCCGCATTCCTTTCTTTCTTTCTTTTTCTTTCCTTCTTTCTTTTCTTTCTTTCACCTATATGTTTTCCTCCTTCCTTTCCTTTTCTCTTTGTTTCGCATTAGTCAACCTTTCTTTTCTTCTTTCTTTCTTTCTTTCTTTCTTTCTTTCTTTCTTTCTTTCTTTTTTCTTGACTCAGTTGTCATAGCTTACTCCTTTTCCTATTTTGCTCCTTCTCTTTCTTTCCTTGATTCTTACTTCCTTTCTTCTTTCCTTTCTTCCGCATTCCTTTGTTTCTTTTCTTTTTCTTTCTTTCTTTCTTTCTTTCTTTCTTTCTTTCTTTCACCTATATGTTTTTCCTCCTTCCTTTCTTCTTTTCTTTGTTTCGCATTAGTCAACCTTTCTTTCTTTTTTCTTTCTTTCTTTCCTTCTTTCTTTCTTTCTTTCTTTCCTTCTTTTCTGTCTTTCTTACTTTCCACTCTTTCTTCTTTATTTCACCTTTTCTTTCCTCGTTTCTTTCTGTCTTTTTTTTTACCACATTTCAATCTTTTCTCCCTTCTTTCAACCCTCCTTTAAATTATTTCATCTTCCTTCTATTTTCTTTCTTTCCTTCTTTCTTTCTTTCTTTCTTTCCGTCTTGCTTTCGTTCTTTCGTTCTTTCTTTCTTTCTTTTTTTCTTTTTTTTTTGTCCAACTAGTTTTATTTCCTTCTTTCTTTATATCTCCCATTCTTTTCTTTTCTTTGTATACTCCTTTCAATAATTCTTTCTTTCTTTGTCCAAATATTTTTCTTTCCTTCTTTCTTTCTATCTATCATTAGTCAGCCTTTCTTTCTTTCTTTCTTTCTTTCTTTCTTTCTTTCTTTTTATCCTCCTTTCAATACTTCTTTCTTTCTTTCTTCAAATTTCTTTCCTTCTTTTTTTCTATCTTGTCAGCCTTTCTTTCTTTTTATCCTCCTTTCATAATTTCTTTCTTTTATTTATTCGTTCTTTCTTTGTTCCGCGTATCTATTTTTCATCCTTTCTTTCTGTCTCCCCTTTGTCAGCCGTTCTTTCTTTCTTTTTATACTCATTTCAATACTTCATTCTTTCTTCCTTCCTTTCTTTATTTATTTTGTCCAAATTTCTTTCCTTCTTTCTTTCTATCTCCCATTCTTTCTTTCTTTTTATCCTTCTTCCAATACTTAACCAATATTTTCCTCCTTTCTTTTTATCTCCCATTATTTAGCATTTCTTTCTTTCTCTCTTTCTTACCACAAACATATTATAGACACCGTCTGTAAAGAAAGGTTCTTATTAGCCAGTTTTTTTGGGGTTTTTTTATTAGTTATGAGGATCTTTTATTCATCTTGAATCAACCACAACGTCGCGCTAACAACAAAATAGAATCCGGAATCCGTGCTTAATTTTGAATTAAGCTCCTTTTCAACATTATAGACAGAATCAAATTACATTTGATGTTCATGTTTTCACTTTGTAAAACGTTGCATCGCTCGCCTTTTTTTCTTTTCAATTGATTTGGATTTATGCTGATAATAAATCGTGAATAAAACGCCATTAAATAAACTTATGAAATGTTTGGAAACACGAAGAATACAACAATGGCGTCAATGCCCGCTACACAACCGTCAGATTTCAGATTTTTATGTTTACACTTCTAATTTTTTTGTCAATAGGGATTTATCGGTAATCGGTTTTATCAGAATATCAAGCACTTGCACACGCAAGTGATAGAAATGCACTAAAAATTTTATACGATGCTGTGCTGAAAAGTTAGCGGCCTTGGACAGTTCCAAATAACAAACATTTTTTAGAGATCTGTTTACCCAGAGTTTTTTGTTTGTTTTTATCTGAATGTCGGTTTCATACAGTTCACAACAACAACACATCTTTTAAATGAAACATAAAAAGGTTATTTTCTGAAGAAAAACTAAAAGCAGATCGTCAGTTGAAGTATCATTTATATGTTCCTTTCAGTAATATACAATAACTATAAATTCAATTTGATGTTTGTTTTATAAAGTAACTAATGTCCGTGGTCCGATTGAAAATATGCGGACACACTTACTTTATGACGGTTAGCCTAATATGTCTATCAGTGGATAGACAAGGCCTAAAGCAGCGTTTGCTGGATGTCGTCTTCCATTGGGTGCATAGGCGTGGATGAGTGTGCGCGTGTATGTACGTTTGGATCAAACTTGCCTCCGAAAATGTTTTGAACCTCGAGAATCAGTATGCTTCTACTTTTATATCGTAAGGAAGACCCAAAATCTAATTTCATATATAGGTGTGAAGTTTTTAAATACAAGGTTTTCATGAGTTAGAAAATAATTTCGCACAAGGTCGCGATAATTTTTTCTTAAATTTGCAAGCGTCGTGAAAGTAGTTATTGTTGTTATTTTCTAAATGGTCCAAAAATAATACGTGGTTGGTCTACAACTATGCTCTTTTGGCGGTATTTGTTCGAGTAATGTATTATTGCTTATCAAACAAACTTTTTTGATGCGATTTTATTGGTTGAAGTATATATATATATATATATATATATATATATATATATATATATGAAAGTGAACATAGAAGTCAACACTTAGAGGCGACAGTCTGTTTCATGATATATGCAATCGTCAGGCCACGTGTGTTGTTATTTTTCTCGGCTATTTATATATATACGGGTTAGTGGTGCATTGTGGGTAGTCTATTATGGCGGTTATTTTACCATATTTGTTCCTCATCCGTCGATATATTTTATATTTACTCTCTATCTCCGATATTGAGCACTTTATCCCATAAATATAGCACACCTTAAGACTATATTTCTTCATATATATAGAAGAAGAAGAAGAAGAAGAAGAAGAAGAAGAAGAAGAAGAAGAAGAAGAAGAAGTCGTCGTCGTTCGGGACCGTTTTTGTCTTAGTGTTGGAGTTCTTATATTAGCCAATACAATATCATTAACTACTACTATCATCTCTATTCCTTATTTTCTTTCTTTCTCTTTTTTCTTACACCTATGCTTAGATTTAATCCTTTCGGGTAAATTTTTATCTTAATGTTAACGTTCTCTCATCGTTTAAACTGCTACCTACAGACACTATTGTCTTCGTATGTCCCCTTCTTGACCCGAAAGGTTTAAACCTAAGCGTAGGGGATTACTGACAATATAAGAAAAACATTATGAAGTAGCAATAAAAAGAAAAGAAAAAAATATATAAAAATATATATATATATATATATATATATATATATATATATATATATATATATATATATATATATATATGCTCCTGTTTTAATAGCAAGTTGTGTCGGTTCGACAAGGTCAAATTGGAAGCTGATCTAAAAAATGACCCACTTTCTGTTGTTAACTGGGACAAGAAATGGCTTGTTGATTTTAACGCGCCTCAAAAAACGAAACTGTTCTCTTTCAATCTTCTTAACTTCCATCAGCATGACCGATGCTAACCTCCAGAAGAGTGATTTGTTGCGCCTTCTCGTGTAAAGATTATATTGACTCATTTGCATGGTCCACTAAGAAAAATTAGTTCCCTGTGTCGTGCTAGACAATTTTAATCTCCATAATCTATCCTGCATAACTACAAGTCTACCTTCGGCCAGGATTTGAATATTGCTGGCAAATATGGTCTGGTGTTCCTGGTATATATTTAGATATTCTTGATAAAATTTAAAAAAGAATTTACAATGACTGACCTGGTATCTCGACTTCAGTCACTTTCGCACCGGGCTAATATACACATAGACACAGACACACACACACACACACACACACACACACATATATATATATATATATATATATATATTATAAATTAACTGATTTAAAATATGTTTTTTTTCGCTACACAGTTCTAACGGAAAAGAAATTACAAAACCTCCTACAGGTAGCGAGAGAGAGCGAGAAGAAAGAACTAAGCCTAAACTACAAGAAGACAGAATGCATGGTCATCAGTGAAACGAAGAGCCCAAAATGCGATTTGCAGGTCGGGGATACTAAAATCATGCAGACGCGGAAGTTTAAATACCTGGGAAGTGTTTAGACGGAGGACGGTAAGTGCGACGCTGAGATCCAAAGACGTATTGGGATGGCCAAGGACGCATTCCAAAAACTGATCAGAGCATCGCGAGACAGGAGGATTTGTTAACAAAGAAAAGAATACTGAGCTGCTACGTGACATCTCTGTTTCTTTACGGCAGCGAATGTTGGACGGTCACGGCCAAGATGAAGAAGAGACTCGAGGCCACGGAGATGTGTTTCTACAGAAGGATGCTAGGGATATCATGAGAGGATACAAACAAGGAAGAAGCTTATACTTAACATCAGGAAGAGACAGCTGAAATTTCTGGGACACGTAATGAGAAAAGAAGAGACTCGATGCAATGGAGATATGGTTCTACAGAAGGATGCTAAGGATATCATGGACCGAGAGTGTGATCAACGATGAGGTTTTGGAGAGGATGCAAACAATGAGGTTTTACTTAACACCAGGAATAGGATGCAATTTCTGGGACACGTAATGAGAAAAGAAGAGACTCGATGCAATGGAATGTGGTTCTACAGAAGGATGCTAAGGATATCATGGACCGAGATGATCAACGATTTTTGGGACATGCAAACAATGAGAAAACCAGGAATAGGCAGATGAAATTTCTGGGACACGTAATGAGAAAAGGAGAGACTCGAATGGAGGTATGGTTCTACAGAAGGATGCTAAGGATATCATGGACCGAGAGTGTGATCAACGATGAGGTTTTGGAGAGGATGCAAACAAGGAGGAAGCTTATACTTAACATCAGGAAGAGGCAGATGATATTTCTGGGACACATAATGAGAAAAGAAGAGACTCAAGGCAATGGAGGTATGGTTCTACAGAAGGATATCCTGGACCGAGCGTGTGAGCAACGATGAGGTTTGGGGGAGTATGCAAACAAGGAGGAAGCTTATACTTAACATCAATAAGAGCTAGCTGAAATTTCTGGGACACGTAATTTGAAATGAGAACCTGGAGAATCTGATACGGACAGGTCGAATAGAGGGAAAGAGAGACAATGGAAAACAACGCATGACGTAACTGGCGGGCTTGGGCGGGTGGATGGCGGAACACAGTCTGGGGGAAGTTGACAGAAACATAAAACCTATTGAGAGCTACAAGGGATAGGGCGAAGTGGAGAGCCATGATTGCCTACGTCACGAAAGGGCACGGCACATAAAAAGAAAAAAGAATTTTATAGTCGTGGATCTCGTGAAGAGATTATTCCATTATTAATAATGAAGATTCACAGAAAATTCAACTGGAAAACCAGGAAACTTTGCACGGGTATTATTTGTTAATTTGATAGAGATGTAAAAACTTCTGTATGTCTTTCGTTTTTTTGTTTTCTCTTTAAGATGCTCTTTACCTAAATTTAGAGTCCTTTTTTCTCCTTAAGTGTCCATTGGACCTTTCCAAGAAATAAAAGTTCAAATGAACGATAAAAAGACCAGGTGTTATTCTTTTGATCTCAGATCGGTAATGTGTGCACTTGCTTTAAATTATTCATACCCGCCATTTGCCAGCACCAATCGATAAACCGATGCTATTTTGAATTTCCCCGAATAGTTAATTCTTTTGGTTTGTATGAGAGTGGGAAGGGAAATCAATGGGGGAACACGTTTACGGTTTCCGAAATAGGAATTTAGAAAAAAATAAATGGCCGCTTAATATTTCATGAGGTGATCTCGTTACAAACTTCTGCGGGGGAAAAAACGTTATATGAAGGTAGTTATGTTAAAACTCGTCTACAGTTTTTTTTTTTTTTTACTTCTGTTATAAAGACTCCTTTACAGCTTTTTTGCTTATTTTTATAAAGACTCGTCTAGAGCGTTTTGCTTATTTTTTAAAGACGCCTTTGCAGCTTTTTACTTATTTTTGTAAAGACTCGTCACCAGCTTTTTGCTTATTTTTTAAAAACTCGGCTAGATCATTTTGCTCATTTTTATAATGGCTTCTTTACATCTATTTGCTTAGTTTTATAAACACTTGACATTTATCTATTTGCTTAGTTTTATAAAGTCTCATCTACAGCTTTTCCTTTATTTTTATAAAGACTTGTATAGATCTTTTTTCTTATTTTTGAAAAAACTTGTCTACAGCTTATTTTCATAAAGGCTTCTCCATAGCTTTTTGCTTATTTTTATAAAGGCGCGTCTACAGGTTTTTGCTTATTTTTATAAATACTCGTCTACATCTTTTTGCTTATTTTTATAAAGACTCGTCTACACTTTTT